ATTTCTCGACCCGCTCTTTCATTTGAGCCCAAAAAACATTCATATCTTGTCTGACATCGCTGCTACAAACTCGTGTCTACAACTCGGGCCTTCAATTGAAACCGCGATTCTAACCTCGTTGCGCCCGCTATCGACATAAAATTATTTAGACACTTCAATTGACAGTCAAATTTTTTTGAATTTTTTCGGTTAGCCAGTCAATTGTAATTAATAAAAAACGACGCGGCGCGGGTTTCCCTCATATAGTGATTAATCTAAGACTAATGTTGCGTTTACGAAGGTTTTCTTCGAACAAAGTTAATTAGAATTAATATCTATTATGCGATTATCAAATTAGATTATAGAATTATGAAATTATCTCACATTTTTTATGTTAAGTATAAGAGAATCTGAATGCAATATAGTGAAAATGATGATCGAGTTTTTCACTTTGAACAAATAATATTAAGATCCAAATACAAAATTTCTGAGATGAATAAAAAGAAGCTGCGACTCAATATTTCAAATTAAGGTTTAATTTTTAATTTAATGCTGAAAACTTGAGATGACAATATTCTAAGCACGTAATTATATTGATGAGATGAACAACAGATTAATTGAATTACCTTGTGAACTTACTAAAAATTGATAACAATGTGGGCACGCACTTCTACCAGAGAATCAACAAACACTGAATCCCAGAAATTCACACTCTAAAGTGTGTTCTAGAAGGAATTGAATTATATTTATGAAAATCTTATTTAATAAGCATAGGAATTAGAGCATGAGCAAATCATTTATTGTAATAAGAAAATTTAACAGCTGATAAATTGGGACATACGATTCCCATCGGTCGTATTGTTTGTTGCAATGAGAATGATTGTAAATAATTAATTGAAAAGAGGAATATCGAATGTGACAGGAAAATGGCATCAACACCCTAGTAGGAAAAAAATAGAGGAAAAGAAATGGAATATTAAACTCACTGCAACGGATCCCGGTGCCTTCGCGCCTTCTTATCCCTCACATAATATGCAACAACGAGGACAAGTATTGCAGCAATAAATGCACAGGCACATCCAATGGCAGCGTAGAAAACTTGACCACCCGATGTCGTACCAGAGGCTGCAACGAGCACCTCCTCAGGACTCGGATATGTGTTTTTATCCTTCAGACATATTTTTTTCCTCTTCACCTCGAGTTTCGTTGTGTTTCTACGATTTTGTGCAACATTTATACGCAGAGTCAAGTCGACCTCGGCATCGTATGGCCCACAGTGAAGGTTTAGTGCCCAAGTTTGTAGTCCTCCCACGGGGATTTCGCCGGCGTCGGAGATATTGAAAGAGCTTTTTAATGCTGAGGGATTACTCACGTCAACTGCCATCGTGTAAGGGAGCTGAAAAAGAAGAAATAGAGGGAAACATGAAAATATTTTGTTGGTGTAATCCATATAAATCTGCTTAAATAGGTTCCAGTTTTCTCTTTTAATTTTAAATTCTTCCTCGTTCCGATAGTTAATTGAAAACGAGTGGATAATTGCTTTCTTTTAAATGAGTATAGTTATTGTGGCTAATGAATTAAGAATTGGTTTCCGCATGCATTCTCATTGTTTTCAATTCTGATTCACGATTTTCTTTTTCTATTTTGTCTTGAAATATCAACGTCCAATTGAAATTTCAGCAGAATTTTTGCGTTTTATTTCGTTTTGTCAAATGATTCTACATTCACACACACTTAAGACTCGAATTCGTTGTCAGACAGGGTTTAATCAAGGTTCAATGAAGGTTTAGTCAAGAATTAGTTGGGATCATAAATCAATATGAATAAGATTGTCAATGGAATTTCAAGTTTCTCTGAAAATTCAAGTAAAGTCCCATTTTTTTAGCGGCAGCAAGACAGAAATTCCTCAATTTACATGAATTTTCAAGTGAAAATGAATATTCACTGCCAAATGCCCTTGAATGTTCCGGGAATTCCTTTCAAATTCTTGAAATTCCAGGAGTTGTTAAAGGAATTCCCTGAAAATTCAGAAAAATCTGGAATTCAAGGAGGGATTTCTCTGAATTTTTCTGGTTTTCATTAATTTTCCAGGAATAATTAAACTGAAATTTACAGTTTCCTCGAATTTCCCCATGAAATTATGAATTTTCAATGACAAAATTTCCTGAAATTTCAATGGAAATGTTACTATTTTTAACAGTGTACAGACACCATATAAAAATCGCATATTCAGACTTTTTAGACCATATTCAGTTACCCGAACACAAAAAATTGGAAACTTAAATTCGAGCGATTACAAAGCTCCCACTCGAAAGCCAAAAACTGAATAAAATATGTAGGGGTTCCGTTACTGGAGAGAGAATTGAATGATTAAATAATTAAAAAACCATTTTGACATGCAAATGTCGTTAATTGCTACCGAAAAATCATTTCGCAGTTGAAGATGATTGACGACAATTTATGTAAACGCCCTGTTATTTGTCACCCACAGTTCGTTACCCCATTCAACAAACCCAGGTATCTCATACATATTTATGAGACAAACAGCTGCAAACTTGATCAGACCACATCTCGTAATGAACCGGCTCACCCATCTCCCCAGTTAGCCCCGTACCCCCTCAATTGCTTCATGAATTCTGCAGAAAATTTTTGATAACTCCTCTATTTAACATTCATCAAGACTGTTGACTATTATTTGGAAGAAATTCAGTGGAGGATTTTATCAAACTCGGTCAATGTGAAACTCAAAATGATTTCCTTCTCATAAAAATCAGTATTTTTTTTGGAAATTCAATGAAGAATTGGAGTTCAACTTAACGGAATGCAACAAATCAATGCAATGAGAAAAAAAATTTGTTCTGCCGAAAAATTATGTTTCCCTGAAGAAATCTTTTGTTGTGTTAAATCAATTTATTTGCGGAGAAAAAAGAAAGTTTCCACCAAAACATGATAATTTTCGTAGTAGTAATTGTACTCGTGAGATATTTACATGTCTTTCGGGTAAATACACTCATTCGACAGAGAATTATATGAGGCTCCGGTGTTATCAAGTGGATGTTATTGAGTAGTGTATATCTTTGTCCAATAAACACTTCTAATTTCCATGGAACAAATGATAATTTCAAGAGGAAACTACAATTTTCTTGCTGAAAACTGTGTCATTGGCAAAACTAAATAATTTCAAGGGGACAATTTTTTTTGAGAACAAATATTCGTTCCTCGTCAATGCATTCTTTGTGTGATATAAATCTGTGGAGTTCTTTCAGATCAAATGATTGTCGAACAGTAGATTATTTTTTTCTAGCCAACAGTTCGAATTCTTCTGGGGATATTTCTGATGATGACGACAAAAATTTAATTTCTGTGAAATATATTAAATTTTCATCTATTAAGTTGATTAATTTATCTACTTTTTCGACAGAAGACGATAAATTGTGACGAATATTCAAAAGAATTGATCATACTTTTTAAAACTTTTCAAGTTTTGCACGACGCCTCATTGTAATATCGTATAGGCGATCCGGTTTATGAGAAAATCGTTATGCAAAATCATGAAATATTGAACTAATAAAATGTGATTATGCACAAGTCAGCAAAACTGACCAAATAACCCTAAAAGTATGATGAATGACTGAATAAGTTAATTATAACACTAGAAATTACTTGGATGATGAACATATTGATAAGCAAATGGCAAAAAAATGAGTAAAGAAAATACAAAATTCTTAAAAAATATAATAAAATAATGTTATGTAGGTTATATAGACAGGATATTTAGCCGTATAACTTATCGAAATATTCCATTCGCGCAATACTCTCCGTGATGACTGTTCTGTTAAATTTTGTGCATTAATAAGTTCATTCTTAAACTTGATGTACGTTCAGATTTGATCTTGTAATTGGCCTCGTGCTGTCGGGTCTTTATGAAATAAAACGAAAGAGTAAAATCTGCAGAAAAATACCCCCGAATTTCGCTGATCGTACAGTAGATTTTCCTTTCAGGAATATTTATGAAAACTCTAGTAGAAAATGCAATATCTCGATTGAAAATGACAATATTATGAATAAAAGTTTAATTTCATTTCAATTTTTATGCGAAATGTGGAAGATTTAACTAGATTTATTGAATTCTTTTGATCAACAGTAAAATCTAAAGGTAATTTTTCACAAATTTTACTCTTCTCGAAAGATGATATGACGAAAAACGTCCTCCTAATACCTTCGTCATGTCTCCTACATTCTGAAATATCATGCGAAAACTGATGAGATGGAATCGAGTTGAATGATAATATCCCCTCTTAATTACGTCATTATCCCATTGATTATGAATGCTAAGAGGCTCCATTAAGAGGCCTTTCTTCTGAGAATTTATTGGGCTATTAAAAAGGTCTCTTCATATTTTTTCCTGAACTGCTGCATTTAATCAGAACCACCTCCACTGCTATTCATTTTTCAATCAACCAAACAAGAAATCTAAAAATGAGAAAACCTCAAGGTAAAATGAAATATCCACTCAACTACCAGCGGTTTCATCCCAAAGAATTCACAGATAAAAGATACATCCGTACAAAAATAAACCCCAAGAGAAATAAATAACATTGCGATGAGGAATAAAGGTGGTGAAGGCTATATTGCCCGGATCGCCCAGAATTTCACAACATACATGTGTTTGGTAGGCGTGGAAAAACAAACGGAATGAACGGTGTGGCTGCAAAAAGAGAAAATGAGGATCAATAAAGGAAGGAGAATGGCGAAAAGATGAGAGAAGAGGAGGAAAAAAATTATTGAGAAGAGAGATAACAGATATTGCCACATCGTAACTTTTGCCAGAATGGTGGAACTCCTACGTTGGTTATAGTCCCCTCGTTTCTCTTCCTATAATCTTTGTTCGGAGAAGGTGATTTTCGTGCTCAGCGAAAGAAGGACTATCTCAAGTTGTACCGAGATACAGGAGAGTTGCCCACTGGGGAGTTGAGCCCAACACAAAACCATCAGACGAGGGAGAAAGACGAGACACCGCTGATTACTGCATCTGACCGCTGATCGACTACAAATCCCTTAGTTTTCTACGTGAACTGCTTTTACGATCCAACAGAGTTCAAGTCTTGAAATCCTCGAGCGGTGCACTTAGTACATTCTCGGAGAATATGCAATTGTGAGGAATATTTATTGTACAACTATTTACGAGATTTATTCGTTACTTTTCACATTTCCATAATTGTGGGGCAGAAATTGACTGGTAGATGAAGATCGGAATTGCCTGAACCTCAGTGTGTTCTACATTTCAGAGAAGAAACTATTTCATTCCCCACGTAAATTATTCAGGAGATCAACGAACACCATTGACGACTAAAAAGTCGAGTTGAAAGGTGATGCCTATTATCTCATTGCTTGTATACATAGAGAACCCATTGTTCACTTGAATTCACAGCTTTCATATCCCCTCCAGAAGCACCATTCCTTTCGTCAGAATAGAATCCTTCTCCTCTTGAAGAACAAAAAAATGGAAGAAATATTTGCACGTCAAAGTGACTAACAATCCCTCCAACTTGGGCCTTCTTACCTCATTACTCTCCTATCAACTCCCAACTTGTCTTTCCTCCAGCAAACCCTTTTGCCAGATAATGTCAATTAACGTATCGCAAAGGTGAGGTAAGTGAGCACTAACTCGAGTACCCCCATGAGTATGTGAACACGGGTGTCGGATTGACTCGTCGCTCCCCCATTCCACCCCCTCATCATGTCCTTCCTCATCAGTATGGAGTGAAGAGAGAGGGAGCATGACTCCTCTTGTCTCAAAGACAAAGTGGTCGAGCCACTTCTTGCTTCTTCATTCGTTTTCTTTGCCGTCCAATGTCTTCCAGTGTTTGTCCTGTCTACACAATTGCAAATGCCCGTGGTCGAGCGACGAGTGCGTTAGTGGAGGAGAAAGAGAGAGAGAGAAAGGGAGGGAGAATGAGGAAGCGGTAAAGGAGTGACGGCCCGTGCCACGACATCCGTCACTTCGCGACAAAACCCCGCACTTCTTCTTCTTCCCTGTCGAGTCCTTTTATATGAACAACCTGTCTGTCAAACTGGACCCATCTCCCCACACATCCCTTTTTTTCTCTCGTCCGCCAAAGGGAATTTGGAATCGATTGCACTGGGAGGAAATAAAGGGTCAAGGGAGGAAGTTAAAAAACTTGTTCCTGGGGGAATGACAAATTGTTGGAAGCAGAAGTTTAAGGACGGTTATCCATTCCTCGGAAATGTAATTTTTTTGTTCGAAAATTTTGGAACTTTGACGAAATGAAATTTATAAATTTTCTCCAATACACAGGCTCTTAAGGGATTTTTTATCTAATTCATAATTCATTGACTCGAAGATTTCAAACATGAAAATAAAAATTAATGCAATGTAAGAAAATTTATTGTGTTTAATACACCCAAGAAAACAGTACCTTATTTCATGACTGAAAAGGTTTTCAAATAAAGTTTTCAAAGGCGTCATTTGAAGCCTGAAGTTCTTAAGTTGAGAATTGTGAAAGTCTGAATTTGAGAGTTCGAAAATTAAATTCAAGACTTCCAAAAGTCTTAAGTTGAAACTTCGGAAGGTCTTAATTTGAGACTTTACAAGTCTCAAGTTAAGACTTTGGAAGGTCTTAATTTCAGACTTCCCAAGTTTCAAGTTGAGACTTCGGAAGGTCTTAATTTGAAACTCCCCAATTATCAAGTTGAGACTTTAGAGAGTCTTAATTTCAAACTTCCCAAGTCTCAAGTTGAGACATGGAAAGGCTTTAATTTGAAACTTCCCAAGTCTCAAGTTGAGACTTGAAAGTTTCAAATTGACAATGTCAGACTCTCAAATTCAAAATTTCATAGACTCAAGTTGATAGCTTTGTATGCCTCAAGTTGAGACTTCGGAAGGTCTTAATTTGAAACTCCCCAATTATCAAGTTGAGACTTTAGAGAGTCTTAATTTCAAACTTCCCAAGTCTCAAGTTGAGACATGGAAAGGCTTTAATTTGAAACTTCCCAAGTCTCAAGTTGAGACTTTGGAAGGTCTCACAGTAATGTGAGACTTTCCAAGTCTCAGGTTGAGACTTGAAAGTTTCAAATTGACAATTTCAGACTCTCAAATTCAAAATTTCATAGACTCAAGTTGATAGCTTTGTATGCCTCAAGTTGAGACTTCGGAAGGTCTTAATTTGAAACTCCCCAATTATCAAGTTGAGACTTTAGAGAGTCTTAATTTCAAACTTCCCAAGTCTCAAGTTGAGACATGGAAAGGCTTTAATTTGAAACTTCCCAAGTCTCAAGTTGAGACTTTGGAAGGTCTCACAGTAATGTGAGACTTTCCAAGTCTCAAGTTGAGACTTGAAAGTTTCAAATTGACAATTTCAGACTCTCAAATTCAAAATTTCATAGATTCAAGTTGATAGCTTTGTATGCCTCAAGTTAAGACTTTCGGAACGCACCTTGAAGTTTTTCTTTAAAAGGAGTTCTGAAAGTCTCTACTTAAGACGCCTCAATTCGAAACATTTGAAAATCACAATGTGAGACTTTCAAAAGTTTCAATTTGAGATCATAAGTCTCAATATAAAGCTTGTTCTTTTGGGTGTAACTAAGAACAATTCAAGGCTATTCAAGCAAATAATAGAGGTATTAGAAACATTTATGTGCAATTGTTTTTGGATATAATTAGAAACATTGTAAACGCTTGCGGCTTCAGTTAAACATTTTTCTCTTTTCTTTGTTTCGTTCCGTCATTTGTTGTACTGGGGAATGACACTGCATCAAGTAACTCATACGCCCATCATCATAAAATCAGAGATACTTTGAGACTAATTGGAGAGAATATTCATCATATGAATTATGAAAAGTTCATGGTCGTCAAGAAGTTTGTTGCTATCGAAGTACCTCGGAAGTTGTCACACACACACCCCGATTTGGTCAGAATGAAGAATGCGCAGTGAGATAATGATCGAATTCAGACTGATTCCGATTTATGAGGCGATGTCTCACATCATAAACGGAATGGTACGCAGTAGCTGCCGGGAGGCTTCTAGACTCTTATGGAGTTCCAGGAGAAATATTTGGGACAGTCATTCATCGTTATGAGGTAGTAACTTCTAGTTAGATATGATCCCAATGATACCCGCTTTTCTCCCAAGTAATATCTTATCAGTTTCACAACTCATCGCCATAGTTCGTAAAAACTGAATGGAGAAAAAAGTTGGTGGAAATTCACAGAACAAGTCAAGCAATCGTGGAGCTGACTCGATTTTTAAAAAGAATGCAAGACGACTAGTGATTTTTGCCCCTGTTTTCTCGGAATGGGCTTTCTTTTGCATTTCTAAGAAATTCGGGAAATAAAATTTAGGAAAAATGAATTTGCGAGAGAGAAATTCAGTTCACTCGTGACTGTCACGAAGAGAGGGTCTTTGCAGTGGTGCATAATCCTGCTTTTTATTTGATTGAAGTGAATAAATTTTGGAGTGTATTGAACAATGCGATGTTATTAATATTTCTATTCATTTCATTAATTTACTAAAAATGTTCAACGCAATTCATTTTGTTAATTTAATAAAAGTGTTTAATGAAAATGATTTTTATATTTAATAAAAATGTTCAATGCAAATTGAAGAGAAAAATAATTGGAGTAAAATTTATTTTCTTATCGCTCCCGATTCCCGGAATTTAGGCTTACCGTGAGCGCCTGGTGGGGGAAGAGAAATACAGTCCCATTCTCAGAATCGGCTGCCCCTACAGCCCCGTGAGTGCGACTATAACGAGAGTCTACTGTAGTTGAATCTATAGTTGAAATAGTTGAATCTATAGTGTGATCTGCACCAAACTGTAAAAGATACTTGGATATCCTTACTCATAATAACAATTCAATTCCTTCTAGAACACGCTTTAGAGTGTAAGTTTCTTGAATTCAATTTTTGCTGATACTCTAATAAACCAGTGTTATTATTTTGGCAGTATGAAGTCACAATGTCACTGCCAGTAATGAAAAATCAAACACATTTCCATCCAAAAAACAATTTCTTGTTCAAAAAGTTATTTCGATATAAAAGAATGATGATAAAATCCCAAAGAATTATTCCCCCTCCTGAAACACTAAAAGAATGCAAACAATGCTCATCAACAGCATCAACTCCCATTTTCCTCATAAAAGGGGATATCAAATGTCATACAATCGACATGATCATTCCCCTTGGGTATCAGTTGCCTCCTAGCGAGGGAAGAGAATAAAACGAGGCATCTGGAATTCCTGTAACTCTATACCTCCACTCGCAAATGTCAAACCTGGCGTTTTTTTATCGTCACTCAAATGCAACTCGAGGCAGATAAAAAAAAGCGCTCAGAAATGGAAAGATATGGCTCGGTGACTGTTGTAAGTACGTAACCGTAAAGGATGCAACGAGGAGTGGAGAAAACGAGGAGAATATCCATGTTATATCGAATGACTCTTGTGTCCAGTCAGCCCTGAACCCTCGGAGTGTTTTCGCTTTACTGTAGTAGTTGAATTCATATCGGAGTTGGGTTGTCCAGAGGAGCGTGACGATCCGATTTACATTCAAATCGGCATTTTTGGTGTTCAGCCAACGGTATCGGGAGGATATTTGAGGAATATACGAAATGGAAGTTTCATCTTTGAGAGGAAACTGCGAGAAAGAGAGATATGACAGTGGAGATGAAATATTAATGGGAGAAACAGACAGAGTTGAGCGTGGAGTAATCATGGAAATGTTCTTACCGGTCTTCCGGCGAGATTTTGCCATGTGAAGTGAAGCTTGTGCACTTGGGCGGGTACTGGCACGTTAAACTTGATGGCATACTCGTTTATTACTCCCTCTCTTACGTAGAAAAGTTCCGCTTCGAGGCCTGCAACAGAAACAAATAATGGAATATTAAATACATAAGTTGTGCTATTCATCTTCTTCGGGGAATATAAATAAGGTTTAATGAAAACATTTTTATATATCTAGGACAGCGATGTCGTTATAAAGTCCCATTCGTCAGAAAAATACTTTTCTGTACTGCTTCTCACGATTTCTCGTCTGGGAATTGGTATTGCATACTTCCCAAACTCGAAAACTTAAAAATCACTACAAAAAAATCTTGTCGCGGACTGCTGCGGTGGGATTTTTTTACTCGTGTGACGTTGGCGATACTCGTGGGAAAAGTGTATTTTCACACTTGGGAGGGTAGCACTTGCCTTTTTGTTATTTTTCATCACGCTGTACGAAAATAGTATATTTCAGGACGAGTGCCATGGGGTTTTTGATTCGCGTGGTGTTGGCGTCCGAGCCGACAGGCGAGGACTGGCCTCCATGTGCCAAAAAACACTTTTCCTATCAGTATCGATCGATATTTTTCATGGAAAAGTGCGAAGCGTGCGTAAAAAGTTACTTTTTCGTACCGACCTTCACTTTTTCTCGTTCGGGGATTAGTATTGGCCCTTCCCCAAACTCGTAAAAGTGAAAATCACTACAGAAAAATATCGTTCATGACTGGTGCCCATTTTCATTACGATGTGTGCAAAATAGGATTGTGTACACGCGCACAAGTGATGAAAAAAACCTGTTCATCACTTTCCTCAAACCTCTTCTATCAGGAAATTTTAAGCTTTTCTTTACACGCTTAGAAAAAAGCTTCAGTTTCCAGACAGTAATTTTCAGGAGAGCGATATCAAATTTGATTTAGAGAAAAACAATAATAAAATTTCAAGTTTCACAGAAAATTCAATGAAAGGCAACATTTTTGGAATAGGGAGACATAAATTCCCTCATTAACACGATTTTTCAAAATCATCAAATTTCCACAATACAAAACTCATTTCTAAATACAAAAATATATTCATCTGAGCTACTCTAATCCTTTATATTTTCTTATGAAATAACTGAACTGAAATGAACTGTTTCCGTAGATTTCTTCATCAAATAGTGAATTTTTAATGACGAAATTCCTTGAAATTTCAGTCAAGAATTTTCAACAATGTATTGTTTATCATGAAATTATTCGTACTATTCATACCATCGAATTCATTTGTACGCATTTTTCCCAAATTTGACATCACAACTATATTCTCAAAAAGAAAAAAGAGTAATAACTGTTATCAAACAACTGTTATCTCGAAAACGAGAATTCCTTCGATTTTTTTTGTTGACACGTTTTTTCTTCGAAAGCAAACAAAAACCTAAAAACTCGGAGATGCAATAAGAGGCACCTTTTCCAAGGATTCCAGGCCATTCACGATAATTCGTGTCCGATAACACTAGGTGGAGAAACACAAAGATCGGGACGACGACGGGGGGGGGGGGGGGGTGTGAGTGTTGTCCAACGATGTTTCGTGACCGCTAGGTGTATTGGTCGAAACGATATCACGTCGCTCGGGGAGAGACCCTTATTTACCGAAGGATAGTAAGTTCGATTGGAGGGAGAGGCGGAGGGGAAAGGAGGAGGTTGAGAGCCGGAGGAATACTGGTTTTTCGTATCGGGTATCGTGTGCACGCTGAGCGTGACTCCCTCTTTATTTGTATTTTTTATTTCGTTTTCGTTGGACTTTCCGAGGTTGAGCTGATCGTATTGTGTCGGAGGGATCTTGTATTCCTCCACGATTTTCACCTTTGCATAAGGATGAATGAACGAAATTGATGATTAAGAAGGGAAGCGATGAAGGAATGGGGTCAAAAACTTCTTATGTATTAATTTTAGAACATCTCTGGGTTTACGAGGAAATGTTGAAGTGCAGGATAGTTGTGGACTATAGTAAAGGTTTTTACAATCCTATCGTAAAAAGGAGAAAGGACATCGCTCTCGAAATATCTCGAATAAGCGTAAGCGTAAGACTGAAAATGAAGCGCCACTACGCGAGGAGATGAGATGGAATATTTGATAAATAATCTCCCGATCCATTCTGAACATGGTCAATATATTTTTGCAATTTTCCATTAAATTAGCAATTTCCTTGCTAAAAGAATTCAATGATTCCTTCTTGAGTAAACGAAAAGTCACATTTCGACACGAGGTGAACGTAGCCGTAGTTCAAAATAGTATATTTCGTAATGAGTGCAAAAAAGTGTTTTAAAAAACATTTTTTCACGAGTTACGAACAATATTTTTCATCACAATGTGGCGGAAATTGGACTTTTAGGCACGCGGAGCGTGCCGAAAAGTTCACTTTTCGTCACAGCGTGATGAAAAAGTTTTTTCGCTCGTGTGACAAAAATGGATTTAGAGAAACATTTTAGAGACCTTTCTTGTGGGTAATACCACGTGGTTATTATAAATAGCCCTTTTGTCGAAACCACATCGTTTAAATTGCAAATCAAAACAATTTGCAATTGCGTTTTTTATTCTCCTCCTACTCCCCACCACATGACGATTGAATTAATTCCGCAGATGGAAACATAATTTTCAATTTTCCCTCTGAATTTTCCATCGACAATTTTTCCACCATGCCGAGGTAATTCCATTTCCGTTGGAAAAAAATCTAATTTCCCTGGTAAATTTATTTTCCACCTCTCGAATCTACTCGACAACTGCACTCATTTATCCATAAAGCGGATTAAAAAATAAATCCACAGCCAGCGTGATAGACTATCCGGATAAAAGTCAAGTCCAAATGAACCATCCACTAAAAAACTTTTGTTGGAACAATTTTTCTTTTGAGTATCGGAGAATGAGTGGTTATCGATATAATAATGCTCGCATGGATGGAGACGATGCGCTTGGAAGGGCCATTGTCGGTCGCCAGTATCCGGCTTTGTTCATTGTTCCCAAGACTACCACATACGTACGCCCATGCAGGAATATGCGTTTTCGCTCATTCCCCCTTTTCTCCCTCTAGTGTACGCTTGGCTGAAAGTTAAATTAGGTTTGCGTCTCCTGAGTGCATTCAGCTGGCTACAAAAGCCATCCCTTAATGTGTGAATATGTTGTCTTTAGATTTTTATAGACAACTGGGGAGTGATAAAAAACAAGACGGGTTTATAGATAAGAATGGAGTAGAGCTGACGTGAAAATAAATAGCTCCGCGTTTGAGCAGTGGCCACTCGAGAATGCTCATAAAATTTCCCACATGTTATTTTGCGGATATCTCCGAAACTGTTGGGCTTACCGAAAAATGAGGAAAAATCTTTTTTATGGATAATAAAATTTTCTACAAGAAATGTTTTATGATGTATTCTTCTTAAATGAATGATTACCTAGATAATTACAAGGTGTTCCATAAAATGTGACCAATGTGAATTTGAAAAGTCTCCTATACGATTGAAGATGACGAGTTCCTTTCTTTATTGCCCGAAGAAAATTTGGTAAATTTAGATAACATTCATTTCAAGTGATCACCTTTACTTGCATTGCGGAACTACTATTTTACCCTGGAATTTATCACTTTATTGGATACAGGGTGTCCCACTGTATATGAGCAAAATAAATCTTGAGTAACTCGAAAACTACTAAACGTACGTAATTGTTGTCTTGTCATTGTACGACGGAAACTTAGGAACTTAAAATACAATTTCGCTGAAGAGACGCACGGATATCATTAGACAAGGATAGAGCAGAGCTGACTTAAAAATAAATAGTTGCGCTTTTGAGCAGTGGCCACTCGAAAATGCTCATAAAGTTTCCCACATGTTATTTCGCGAATATCTCGGAAACTATTAGGCTTACAGAAAAATGTGGTAAAATGTTTTTCATAGATAATTCAATTTACTACAAAAAATGTTCTATAATGTATTCTTCTTAACTGAATAATTATCCAGATAACTACACGGTATTTCCTAGAATGTGATCAAAGTAAATTTGAAAAGCCTTCCATGCGATTGAAGATGACGAATTCCTTTCTTTATCGCATGATGAAAATTTGCTAAGTTTAGATAGCTTTCATTATAAATGGTCGCAGACATTTGCACTGTGGAACTACTATTTTACCCTGGAATTTATCACTATATTGGATATAGGGTGTCGAACAGTATATGAGCAAAATAAATCCTGAATAACTCAAAAACTACTGGATGTACACAATTGTCATCTTCTCATTGTACGAAGGAAACTTGGGAAACTAAAATACAATTTCCCTCAAGAGGCCATCAACACCCGTAGTATTCCATATTCAAAGTTGATACTAGGATTTAATGGAAAAAGCTTCTATTTCAGCAAGTGGATTTTTCAATTCAACATCTTAATTCGCTGGACACTAGAGCATGACTAAAATTTGCCAAAAGCCTACACTTCAACGATGTAATAGACTATTCAGTCCAGTCATATTTCATGGGTCACCCTGTACGTTATTATTTCGAGCTGCCCATGAACTTTTCTACGAATAACATTTCACAGCTTCTCCAGATATTTGTGAAATTGCAACCAAATAAAAATGTTGTTTTGCAGAAAAGAGGGGTTCCCACTTATTGTTTCCTTCGCATCAATAACTTCTTCTCACACACAGGTGAATGAATTCTCGATAAATAGAATCGTAAAAGAAATATAAAACTACGCAAAAAAAGCTTGCAACAACATTGCAGAAATAATAATACTCCAACCTCCGTAAACCCTCGATTTTATGACCAGTGACTGAGCAGAAATATGAGAATTGGTTTGTTCAGAGACCTTACGACGATATCCTACCGTCGATTCCCCTTTTATTCTCTCCTATTATTTTTATTTTTACCTGCAGCATGCGCGATTCAGCGACGGCGTTAGCTTCCGAACCCCTATATGAGCAGGAAAGGAAAATAAATAAGAGAAATCACGAGGTGGGAGGGGAGAGAGTTATAGGGTATACGCACATGGTCATGGCCTGTGTGTGCAAAAGAGGAACCCAAGATCTTTGGATATAGCAGCGGCTGTATTTCACGCTGGGGGCTAGGCTCCTACAC